AAAGGGAAAGCTTGTGCATTCGTACAGAGTCCTTATGTAGCCATGTAACGCATGATGTAGCCATGCAACACAGGGCCCTTTGAGCTGCCTGAATGCTGATGTGTACCCCCTGCCAGTTGCCAGGGGTTGCCAGGGGGCAGTGTCAGCATAATGCTTGGATACCAACACCCATGGCATATTGTATTTCCCAGAAAGCGCCACCACGGTTCTTTTTAGAACTGTCCTTCTAGAATCATCCCTTTATTGGTAAGTAATGTGGGCATGGCTGGTGACCAACAGAGGGCTGCAGAAGTGGCCTCAGATGGTTTCTAAGTCCGGGCTGCAAATGTTGATGCAGCTGCTGCCTGGATGGGACTGGGGACATTAAAACACTGGAGCGTCACCATTCATGTAAAGGTCACCATTCATGTAAAGAAGCCCAAACGAAGTCCAAAAGAAGCCACATGGGAAAGACCTGGGACCAGGCCGAGAGGGAGGTGTCCGGCAACACTGCACTCTCCTGGGCTCCTCTACAGTTCTGTCTCTAGCCAGTGTCTCATTACGGCCACTTATGGTCCCTAGATCCAAAATCTCCCTACTGAGTCCTCTCTGGATCCTTGACCCACAGAGACCAGGAGAGGTAGGTAAACTTGGGATAACTTCTTCTGCAGGAACCAGTAACCAGGCAAGCCTTAATATGTCACACTGACAATTAAATTTCTTGACTTTTAAATCAGCTGTTTTAAAACTTAGTTTTCTCTGGGAAAGGGTGAGAAGCCCCCCCCCCAAGGTGATTTGGTAATCTAGAAACATCTCCTTTTAGATTCTCCCCCGAGTTTGGTGAGCAATTCTGTGATGGCTAAGGCCGTCAGCGTTACTCCCATTGGCATTCAGCCACATGGTTCATTTCAAAAGCAGCCATCAATGGGGTACCTTAGGAGTGAAAACCCCTAGCTGCATTAATGTTTATGCTAATCAGTAAATTAACATAGATTGCCGAGCCCCTTTCTCCCAGCTCTTGCCAAAGGTGTTCTAATTATGCAGAACTATGTCATCATCATGAACACGAACAAGTTCATTACAAGTGGAGGCGCCAGAGTCTTGCATATTGAGCTCCCCAACTTTCAAAGACTCCTAGTTACGATGGGAATCTGGCACCAAGTCTAATGACTTGTGATGGGGTTGGAGGGCCGTGATGGTAAAGGTGTTTGTGATGTGAATAATTCCCCAGCCCTTGGCACGCAGCTCTGACTCAACTCTGCTCAGCAACTGAAGACCAGTGCCCCTCACCCCCACACCCAGTCATTTCCTTCCGTTTAGAAAAGGCCTGAATCCCTTTGACACACTCCCTCACTGCCTGCAGCTTGTTTTCTATAGCATCTTTGACTAGGCCCCCTTCTATCAGGACATTTGAATAAATAATCCCCTTGCTCTTGTTTTGTTAACAGAGTTCTTGCCTGCTGTTTCTGGTCTCCAAGACAGCTCCCAGCATTTGCAGCCAGGAATTAAGATGCCTGTGAAATCCACCCTTGTGCAGCAAATGCCTTGTGAGGGAGCCCTTAGAAAACACTAACTTCTTTTTCTCCTTCAGCCTCTAAACAGCAGTTACTGGGAAACAGTCATTTAGAACAGGGCCATTAGCTAAGAGTCTCTGCAGGCAACAGCTGACGGGCAACAAAGAAGCCGAAAAGAAAAGGCTTCATAATCTCCTATTTGTGACTCCTCAGTTGTAGCTGTTAGTAGTGACTTCTGTGGGCAGGCAGCTGCTTCTGCCATTTACACTTAATCAGATAATCACAGGGCCGGGAGCCCTTAATCCACTCTAGCCAGGGCCTTTTCGGCTTTCTGAAGAGCTTCCAGAATCCTCCATTGCTTTCCTCACACCTCTGCTTGGAAAAGTAAAAAATGCACTTGGATAGGAGATGTCGAGCTCTTCCAATGAGGCAGAAAGGCTTTTTTATTCTTTTGAGTTGTTTTCCCATTTCCTTCCTGAACAACATGGTGACATGTCCACCTTGGTGGCTTTTCATGGCTACTGATGACAATTTAAGGTACTGTCAACTTGACTATACCTTAAATTAAAGATGGAGGGCACACCTGTGAGGGTTTTTTGTTTTGTTTTGTTTTGTTTTTTTGCTTAATTTGAAGTAGGAAGATCCTCTTCTAATCTGGATTTTGAGTTGGGAAGACATACCTCTAATCCAGATTATTTGAGCTGGGAAAACCCGCCTCTGGTCTGGGCCTCACCTGCTGGCAGCCTGTATAAGCACAGGGAAGAAGGAGGCGTTTGCTCTTCGCCCGCTTGCTCTAACCTTGTTAGCAAGCTCATTCCTTCACTGGCATTAGAGCCAGCTTCTTCAGAATTCCAGTGTCTATTGAAGACCAGCTGAGACATCCAGACTTGTTATTACTGGATTCTTGGATTTTCCATTCATAGCCAGCCATTTTTGGATTAGCTGGACCATAACCTGTAAACCACTCTAATAAATCCCTTGTCTATACATATATAGAGAGATTCATTCTATACATTCTAGAGAACCTTGACTAATACAGATTTTTGTACCATAAGTGGTTCTAGAGTAACACAAGTATAAGGATGAATCTTCTAGGTATCTGGAATAGGCTTTTCAATTCGCCAATACCTACAGTTACTAAAGCCCCCTCAGTTACTGAAGCCTCTCCGAAGAGTTTGGAGAGCACTAACCTATTTTACAGACTTGAAATAAATGAATTTGATTATCCTGACTCACCAACTGTGGGTAACAGTGTATTTGACTGTGTACATGAAACTTTTGATAGTTTTGGGAAAATATGGAAAATTATGCCGATTCGTTGCTCTTAGCATCTCTGTATAAACTAACAAAGCATAAAGATGAACTTAGTGATAAAATTGACCAGTTCTAGTTGGCATAAACGATCTAGAGGTTTCTGAGTGTGAGAGAACCTTCACCAAGGAGCTGGGTATTGCTGTGACAGGCCTGAACCATGCTGTTTGTTGGAGGAATGTGGACTTTGGATAAGGCAAAACAGGCTCCTGAAGAGAGGTAGAAAATGTAGTCCATGAGGAGGTGCTAAAGAACTTGATAAGTTTGTTAATTCATTCAAGCAGAAGTCTGAGGGATATGTTTGGGAATGTGTTTCAAGAGTGTGCGATAATGGTGTAAGGAACAAAAAATTGGAACAGGCTGAGTTTATTGATATGGGCCCTCTAAGTCAAGATTCTAGGTTTAATATGGAAGTTCACACAGCTTAAAAAAGGTGTCAAAACTTTGAATGGCTGGCTGAAGCATTTGTCAAAGGATGGCCTACTGAAAAGGAGTTGGAGATGCCTGATGTCCCTTGGCTTAGTGTGGATGAGGGGATCCTGAGGCTCAGGGAGACAGCAATTGGTGCACTGTGCAAAACCTAATCCTCCACAGCAGGAGGCCTAGAAGACAAGCCCCTCACTAACTCTGAAAGACACAAGCTGGCGAGAGGGGCACCAGCACCTTTGAAGTGTTTTGTTGTGTCAGACCTTAGGGTTGGAGATGCTACTGCTCAGGTGAATTAAATGCAGTGGATTTAAGTTGGGTCCTGAGGTAGCAAGGGGCAGGGGACAGCATCGAATAGCCAGAGGCAAAGAGATTGTAGTTGTTGTAATGGGCAGTATAAACAACGCTATGTCCATAATGGCCTAACCTGCTATAGTCATCATAGGTCAAGTGAATTTTACGGTGGCATGACTCTTATGGACCTTTGGTACTGGCTAATCAGCCGTGGTGTTTCCTAGCATGAAATAGATAATAAGCCTACTGAATTTTTGTTTGATCTGTATAAGTGGGAAAATGCTTAAACAAATGAAAGAAAGGCTATATTGGATTGAGGCATCAGTGTCTTAAGCAGGTAGAACTTGGGGTACTATCTCTCCAGCCTGGATGCTGAAGGCAGCAGAACCAGAGTGTCCAGGTTGGGTGCCCAGTTTATGTTGTCCTCAGCTCTGAGAACACAGGGCCCATCCCTGTGGTGGGTGGGGGACACTCTCCCTGCTCTCCCTAGCATTCAGAGATTATAGTCAGGCTGGGTGGCCCCAACTTGCCATATACTCCCATCATTCATGGAGAAAGAGGTCTCTAGGTGAGGTACCACCCCCACCCCTCTTGAGAATGTCACCATGCTGCTTATTAAGCAGCTTCTGCCAGTACCTGGCAAACCTTGGCACCGGGGAGAGGAGTTGGGCTTTGGATGTGCAGAATGAGACCTCCCTGTACCTTTCTTCACCAATGGGGTGATTCCCCCTTACTCAGTTACCAAAGAATGCCACCTCCAACCAACCACATGAATAGTATGATAAAGAAAATTAGAATTGTGACCTCCGCACTCATTGGGCACTGGGGCAGGCATTGGGAGAACTATGGTTTACATAGCACAATGAACACACTATCATAGGCCACCCTGGGTGGCACAGCCTCACCCAGGCACCTACTGTAATATGTGGCCGTGAACTGCCATATCTACCTCCCTGGCATCAACTGACTTAGGACTCTGTAGGACAATAAGCAGGTCACAAGTAGGGAAAAATTGATGGAACCCAAGCCTGCGATGAAGCACATACCACTCGTTGACAGAATGATTTATCACTCTTGTGTCTGCTCCAAGTCCACCTACCAGTGCCCTTGAGCTTCTGGCAAGATGCGGGGTGTTGTTCCCCTGTTTTCTAGGTGCCTCTGCCACCATGTTTGCTGTGGCACCTGGGCAGCTGGCATTTAAATACCTTTCATGAGTTCCATGGAAACAACTATGGTAAGGTTGTAAATAGCTATTGATTTCTAGATGACTCTGCCGCCAAGTTTGCTGTGGCACCTGGGCAGCTGGCATTTAATTACCTTTGCACGAGTTCCATGAAAAGAACTATGAACAGGTTGTAAATAGTTATTGTTGCTACTTCTTGCATTATGTTCTAGCATCATTGGTAAGTACTTTCCATGTATAACCATTAGTGTTTGTAATACATCTATGCAATAAATAGCATCACTCACATTTTGTATATGAGGAAATAGGCCAATAGAAGTTTTGTAAGTTTTCCTGGATCATACAGTTGGTAAACAGAAATGGTGGGGCTTGAACTCAAACCTGTAATCCAAAGCACAGATTTCTTCCTTCCCAGAAACCACCTTTCCAATAACTCAGCAAACATGCATCTAACACCAACCATTTCCCAGGAGTCCCTTCTTCTCTGGAGCCCTGAGTCTGAGCTCACCCTCTCCCCTTTCTTTTCTCCATGACCATGAAGAATGGGGTTGCCAATGTTCACAGCAAGGACAAGATCCGCAGCAGTGCGTGGAAGGAAAAGAACAGCCTATTTGCCTGTGTTCACTTGCAGTCTGTCAGCTATCAGGAGAACAGAACCATGTGTCCACGGTGGTGGCTCGAGCTCACAGGCAGAGGAGGCAGAGGCAGAAAGCGTTGACTATGAAAGTCCCCGAAAGAACCGATGAGGAGGAATAGGAAAATACACCTCTCAAAGCACCAGAGCCTGCTTCCCCATCTTCTCAGGATCAGATGAGTATCAGAACCACTCAGTAGCATCACTGGTCCCATCTGGTCCGCAAGAACACTGCCCATTGTGTGCTGGTCTCTGGGGAGCCATGTTGACACAAAGACCTAGATCCAAACGTGCTTGTGAGGGACCACTGCAGCCAGCAGCTTGCCTTGTCCGGGAGCTATTGAAACAGTCTGAAGTTCCTGGGAGGTAACACAAGCTTTTATGGTTAGATGATAAACAGTTAGATAGACAAACACAAACAAACAGATAAGTAAATAAATAAAATAAATCCCAGAGACAACTGATGAAGAGAAAACTATTCTGATCTGGTACCCAAGCAGCAACAGCTTTACTTGAACCGTCTCCTGGGTTGACAGGACTCTTGGTAGCCACGACCCCCATTAGCCAAGTCCAGATTGTGATAGGTGATCAGAACAGCTTAGCTAGATAAGATGGATCCTTTGCCTGAACCTGGGAGATGAGTCCTGGTCTGCCTGTTTGCCTTCCTCTCTGCAGGTGATGGAGTTAGTGACCATGGTAGCCATGTGTCCCAGGTGCTACAAGCGGAAGTCTGCACATGGTCTCTGGAAGGAGGACGACTAAACAGCCCTCATGGCTTTTCTTCACAGAACTGTTATAGTCACCTTGCCACTGTGATAATCGATAACACCACTGTTGCACAAGGCAGAAGGGGGATCACAAGACAGAAGAGAAAAATCTAGGGTTTCTGGAAAGATCATTGCATCACTGAACACTGAAACCACATGCCCTTAGAATACTTAAGTGATGTATAAAACTGCCGTGAGAGCCAAAATTAGATGTAAAGTTTTAATTACTGTGCCTAAGAGATCCATGGAACAAAAATGCCTCTGATCTGCAAGCCCCTTACCGAAGGACAGATGGATCCTGAAATGCTGGAGGCTGCTGTTTATGGGCGATAACAAGCCACATGTTTTCACTCTCTAAACAAGTTTGTTTGACCCATCTGCACTGATGTCCTTGATCACACAGGGGCAGGAGGTTCACAGGAGGGAGGCACGTCAGAATGTATAGTTGCCCCTGCTTGGACCTGATGGGAAAAGAAATAAAGCATGGGTTTTCATTCTTAAACGGATACAAACTACGATTCTGGTCCATTTCCTGGGAACCTGGGTATGGACCTGGCCAGAGCCCATCCACCTGGCCAGTATTTAATTAAAGCTAGCTTCAAATTTGGCTTTCACTATGTAGTGGTCTTATTCGCTGTTGGTGGGATTAACACTGCTTCATGCTTTCAGCCATGTCTAGGTTTCCTTCCACAGTGTACAGTGAGGTCAAGCAAAACAGCCAGCTGCCCATGCACTACACAAGAACAAAACAAGCATGCCTGGACCAAGACGCGTCTTTGCCATTGCCAACCCCTTACCTATCGGGTTGTGTGACTTCCAAAAGAATTTAGAAATGGAATAACACGGTTTGTTGAGGGCCTACTATGTGCTGGGTCCAATGCTAGGTGCTAGAGTTGCGAGAATGGACAAAGCAGACAAGGTCATTGTGATCATGGAAGTCACATTCTGGAGAATGTGAATCAGCGAGAAGATTCTTTGGCAACTTTCCTAACCATCAGTTAAATCATTCCTAAACATAAACCCAGACTCTGAAATCAGATCTGGATTCAAATTCCATCACTGCCACTTGCTGTGGTCCCGAGAAGGCGATTTAATCTTTCTGGCTATCAGTTTCCTCGTCTTCAGCATAAATAATAAAAGAACGTAATTCACAGTGCTGCTGTAAGGATTTGACAAACGAGGAACTCCGTGAAGTGCTCCACACAGAGGCTGGCACACTGTCTCTCTAGAGCCAGATTGGCATCGTTACACAGGAGGGCTTGATTTGTTTGTTTGTTCCTTGCCCTGCTGTGAATCAAACATGGAGCCTTATATATGCTGGGCAAGAGTTCCACTCCTAAACTACTCCAGACTATGCCCATAACCCCGACTTTCAGGGAGCAACAAGGCACAGATCATATATGGACGAAACCTGGAAGACAAGAGTCCAGATGTGGCCATAGAAGAGTTAGGAGTGAAGGAACCAAGAGACAGGCAGCAAAGGAATTTCCCTGGGAACCGGGATGTGTCTCTCTTCTTTCTCCTACACACGTACTACAGCCATTATCTCGTTGTCTCAACAGTTTCTGCTATTCTTTCAGTGTGATCGCAGTTCCCGGGAGAACCAAGTGGGCTTTTCTTTCTCCGGGCAGGTGAGGCACTGCAGGGTGAGTACCGGGGAGGCGCTAGTTAGTGCTACACACGCAGATCCTCCCACGGATGATCTCAGTAGCCCCGAGTCCCTTCCTCCCCTCCAAGTCACAGTCTCATGTGCTCCGTGCTGCAACTGCCAACGGCCTAGGCCCTTAACACTCACACTTGGCTCTACCTTCGCACAGCCTCGCTCCCACACTACCTGTTAACGCGAGTTTCAGCTAGGAATCTTTCAACCCTCAGACACGAATTCCATTCAACAACGGGCAAATGCACGAAAAGAAGGGAGTGTTCGAAAAGCACCTAAAGTTGTCTCATACCGGCCCTCTGATTTAGGTTTTCCTTGTTTGTACATTCTATGTCCGAAAGAAAACAGCTTTTCATTAATTGGGCATCAGTCCAGGCTCTTGGGCTTGGCACATCGCCCATAGAGCTGTGAATTCAGCCTGGCAGACTAAAGCTTTGAGATCGGCAACATCTAACCCAAGCCGGGTCCAAATAAGGAAGCTGGGGAAAGAGCCAGGGGCCTGCAGCTCCTTCTCTTCTCTCAGGGGCACCTTCCAAGTGATCTTGGTGGCTAAGGGGACAGGGCAGTGAGAAGTTCTGGAGACTCTCAGAAGTCACCGTCTGAATATCAAACCTGAATAACCGGGAGAGAAGTAAGGCGGGCAGGCAATCTTGCCGTGGTTCCCGCCTGCCCACGCTGCAGGTTTTTCAGGTCCTTGCTTGAGCGTGCACTCCCGGGCGTAAATAAACGTGCGATCAGCAGCCGCGCCAGACAGCAGGCTATTTAAGCCGGCCGGCACCAGCACCCGCTGCTTCCAGCCCAGAGCTCACCCAGACTTCCACGTAAGTAGCTTTTTGAGGTCGGCCTTGAGTGCACCGAATGAATTTGTCTACAGATGAGCCCAAAGTGCTAGACTTAAAACATTTTTTTCTTTTCTGGTGGAAAAGTAGTGGAGGTGAAAGGGGAGGTAAAAATATAAATATAATGCTTACCCCTCGTGTCATCGTCCCCCACCCCCCCCCCGACCCCACACATAGAGTCAGCGTGGAATCAGAGTGTTGCTGGGAATGAGAAACCAGGTCTTTTGCAAAAAAGTGTCTGTCAGATTGTGGGTGAATTTGGATCAGGGAGATAAAGCAGTGTTTGTTGTTGTTTACTGTTTCTTGTTTCAATTTTCATCACCTGTGCAACTGTTATTTATCATTTCGTCATTTCAATACCAATGATTACTGTTCTACCGCTCAGCTTTTTATCTAAAAAGCAGGTAAAATGGTGTTTAAAATAGAGATCTTGTGTTTGAGGTAGGTGGAGTGACTATCTGGCTGATTTTGAACTTGCCATGTTACATACATATTACTATCTCTCTCTCTCTCTCTCTCTCTCTCTCTCTCTCTCTCTCTCTGTCTCTCTCTCTCTCTCTGTCTCTCTCTCTCTCTCTCTCTCTCTCTCTCTCTCTCTCTCTCTCTCTCTCTCTCTCTCTCTCTCTCTCTTGGTTTTTCAAGACAGGGTTTTTCTGTGGCTTTGGAGGCTGTCCTGGAACTTGCTCTGTAGACCAGGCTGGCCTCGAACTCACAGAGATCCGCCTGCCTCTGCCTCCCGAGTGCTGGGATACTATCTCTTGTTCTCCATACATCTACAGTAATGAAACTATCATGCCAATAATGAAAAGAAATGCTTCACTCTGGGTTTTCCAGAAAGTAGAGTTTTGTGATTTTTTTTTTTGAGCTCAAATGGTGTCCAGGTATTCAAAGTCAATTGTTGGTGGAGGAAGAAAGAGTCATTGAACAAAAGGAACGGTATATCTCGTATTTTAGATGAGAACCCGTGAAGAGAGATGCCAACCATTCCCTGCAGCTTGTCTCAGGACAGGGCTTGTATATCCAGGGCAGGTACTGAAGGAAACGCATGCTGGGGAGGGAGGAGATAAGAGGGACGAAGGAATCACAGAGGGCTAAACATCACGCTGAGAAAAAGCAAGCGGGCAGTAAGGAGAACTGACATTAATTACACAGTTCATCTGTGTCTAGAGATGAAGGCTTGTGTGACGGCTCATACCTGTAATCTAAGCTCTTGGTAGGTTAAGGCAGGAGAATTGCCCTGAGTTTGAGGCTAGTAGAGTTTCAGAGCCTCAAACAAACAAAAAATGAAAGATTTGGTGATGAAGCATTAGAGTGTGATGGAATCCCAGGACCTTTCCTGGATATTTCCCATCAAGGAGCCCCTACCCCAACAATTTTCTTTTTGAGACCGTGTTTTACACTTTGTAGCTTTGGTAGGTCTAGAACTCTCCATGTAGACCAGGCTTGCCTAGAACTCACAGACATCTATTTGAGTGCTAGGCTTATGTTCAACTCTAACACACATTTTTAAAAAGTTCTTCTTTCTTTTTTTTAATGTTTTTACTTGAAGTAGATTCCTATCGCATTTCCCCTCCCTTCCCTCCACACAGTCTCTCCTAGCTACCCTCCCTTGAGACCTTCCCACATCCTCCCTAACTCTCAAACTGATAGCCTCTTTTTCCTTGATTATCATTGCCACATATGTGTCTGTGCACACTTGCGTGTGTATGCACGGATATGTATGTGGCTTCAAGGCCTAGCACTCCACACTGGACAGCCAATGATGGGAGTCATCCTCCAGCACACATCCTTTTTTTCTTCTTCCATTTTTTGAGACAGGTGGTCTCGAACTCACAGAGATCTGCCAGCCAGTGCTTCCCAAGTGCTGGGATTAAAGGTGTGCACCATCACCACCTGGCTCCAACACCCATCTTGAAGCACATGTTCTAGACCACTAGGAAGTCCATGAATGCTAAATCAAGGTTGTGCTTTCATTGTTGCTTGTTTGTTTTTGCTTGCATAGAATTCTTTTTTTCCATTTTTTATTTTTTTCTTTACATCCCAATCAAAGTTTCCCCTCCTGTCTTCCCAGTCCCCTCCCCTGCCCCACCCCACCCTCCTCCACTGTGGAACCTTGTTTTTTTAAGGAGCTTAAAGCTTTGAATCAATGCCTGGTGACATTTGTCTTCCTGACTTCTGCCATTCCTGCTGTCCTCCACCTCCTGTTCAGACCTGTGTGGATGCAGGTGCTAGTGTAGGTGTGGGGACAGGACCACAGGCCCCACTGAACCTGCCCTGACTAATAGATTTGTGGGCCAGGAGTGATGTACTTAAACCTTTAACACAGGAGCTCTCCATAGCCACCAAACTGAAGCTGAGTTAAAGGTCTTGTGCTAGCCAAGCAATGATGATTATTAAGGAATTTCTCTGAGCAAAGAGCATTTGGGGCCTGGGAGCAAGAGAAGAGATATTAAAAGGAGTGATAACAAGAATGGAGGTGAGAAAAACAGCTTATGTTGTATGTGAACTCATCTGAGGTGGGGTAATGCATGTCAGTGGTGGCCCGGAGAAGGGACCAAGAAAGGGCTTGGAGGTGGGAGCAGATGAGATCTGAGGGAGTGTTGAATTTTTTACTTCCCTTTCCTTGTGGTGTTTTTGAAGCCCAGGCTGGCTTCAAACTCACAGTAATCCTCCTGCATCCTCCTCTAGAGGTTCCCTCGGGAAACATTAGGATGGGTCAATCCATCAGTATAAAGTCGGAACAGCCCAGGCAAAAGCACGCCTGGTGACATTTGTCTTCCTGACTTCTGCCACTCCTGCTGTCCTCCACCTCCTGCTCAGACCTGTGTGGATGCAGGTGCTAGTGTAGGTGTGGGGACAGGACCACAGGCCCCACTGAACCTGCCCTGGCTAGCTGGCTGTGTTTTAGATAGCATCCCTCTGCGCCATCACCAAGGTCTAATTCTCTCAGGGGTTTGTTTACCCATCTTCGGCAAACCAACTAAAGTTATGACGTTAATAGACAGTAATTACTTAATGACCCTTGGGTTATGAAATAGATTCTAACAAGATAACCTATCTGGGAGTTCTTTCAAGTGTTTCCTTTCTTTCTTTCCTTCTTCCTTCCTTCCTTTCTTTCCTGCTTTTGTTGTTTGTTTGTTTGTTTAAGGCAGGGTTTCATGTATCCCAGATGGCCTCAAATTTGATATGTAGTTGTCAGGGGCTACCCTTGAACCTCCTACTCCTAACTCCTGAGTCCAGATTATAGGCTTGTGTTATCGTGCCATCTTTGAAATGTTATATAAATATAATTATCACTTAAATTTTAAAGTAAGCAATTAGAAAAATCACTTTCCAAACCACCAAGAGAAAGAATATCAAAATTATAGGTTTTCGGTCCCATCCTACAGGCTTCATCTAAGACTGCATCTTGCCAAATTGTCTTTTCTGCATTGGACAATTCTTTTAAATTCATTTGCTTTCGTATATGTGTGTGAGAGAGAAAGGGCGGGAAGGAGAGAGGAGGGGGGGGGACAGTAGTGGGACCAGCAGCCTGTTCAAAGAGGACCAGAAACAGAGGTGAAGTTGAACTCTATCCTGAAACCCAGAGACTAGCCTCTCAGAAAGGACTAGGCTGTAAGCATCAGGCTAGTAGACCAACACTGGGTACCACTGCTACTCTGAAACAAAAACTACTTCCTGCCATTTAGAGTTCATGAAAACAGTTTTTAGACAAACAATGGGTTCACATAGCTGGTAGAACATATGTGTAGAAGTGATAGAATTTCTTCCTTAAATGACTTTCCTTTGAACACATGTCCTCCACCGTTATTTCTGTGTAGAATAGTTTATTTCAAAGCTCACTTGGATTTTGGTTTTTCCTGGCTGTTGTATGTCACCTGGATTAAGTTTTGAACACCGATGAATTCCTCGGACTTCCAAAATGTTGAGTGAACGAGGCGGTGGGTAGTAGGAATGTGGCCTGTGGCCTGGAGGGGTACACAGAGCATCAGCCCATCATCCAGTTAAAAACCAGCATGGAAGGACTACCCTCCCGCCTGCTTACCCAGGGCATGCTGGTGGGGCGCAGGCTTGATGGGGATCCAGATGATCCCCACTATGCAGATGGAGATGTGTGTCCTGGTACAGGTGGCACATTCTCTGGCTCACAGTCTCTGCATTTCAGTTGGTCCCAATGGAGTTTTGCCAGTCTAATGCTGTTGACACCAGGCATATGTGAAATTTGGAGTAAAAGCCATACAACCAAATAGGTGCAGGTTTGTCCATCCTTTTTAGCTGCCCGGAAAGTCCCTGCATCTGTCCTCAGTGAGATGTTAAAGAGTCTCCCACAGACACCAGTAGAGACTAGCCCTGGCAGAAGACAGCCCAGCCTGCAGAACAGAGAGCGCTTTCTCACCTGTAATGCAATTTTAAGGCAGGAGTGAGATTAGAAGTCTTAACTGGGTTTTTTAATGCATTCTTTTTAACACATACTGTGCTCTGTGTGTGTGTGAGTGTGCGTGTGCACGAATGCGTGCACATGTCTGCATGTGCACTGTGTGCGTGCATTTGCCACAGTGTGCACATGTGTGTGTGAGGGGTGTATGTACCACTGTGTGTGTATATGTGTGTGTGTGAGTGTGCGCGTGTGTGCATGTGCATTGTGTGTGTGCATTTGCCAAAGTATGCCCATTGTGTGTGTGTGAGGGGTGCTTGTGCCACTGTGTGTGTGTGTGTGAGAGAAAGAGAGAGAGAGACACAGACAGACAGACAGACAGACAGACAGACAGACAGACAGACAGACAGAGACACCTTGGGTCTGGTTCTCTCCTGCCATAAGGAGCTCTGAGGATCCAGCGTTGACATGGCAGCAAACGCCTTTTCTGGATGAACCATCTTGAAGGCCCACAGGGGGTTTCTAAATAGTTGCCCCTTCCCTATCCAAAATACATGACTGGAGCAATAAATTATCCGGTCGTCTTTGAATACACCGGAAAGTTCAA